AAGAGTTGATAACGTAGAATGCCATAAGGGCGTTTATACTTCCCTAGTCTTAATCTTAGTCTTAATCTTAATCTTGGAAAGATCCCATCTTTTAACTTTAGTCCCTAATGTCCTAAGGCCGGGCCAATGAGGTAAGTCTGACGTCCGACGCAGCACGAAACCGCGCGAAATAATGGTTTTCGATTCTTGTAAAATACGAAAATGAGTGATGCTGATTTAATTGAATGTGTCCAACAATTCGATGTTGTTTGGAATAAAAAAATCCAAATTATAAAAATAAATTAGTGGTGAAGAATAGTTGGAACGCTATTGGAGAAGCGCTAAATTTAAGTGGTAAGTTAGTATGTAGAATCTAACCTCTTAAATTGAAAGAACAAAAACTGTGTAGAAGTGTTTTATAGTTTTTCTATTACAATTTGTGGTTAGGTTTTGTTACATTTGCACATCCGTAGTCCGAATTTCCAGGGAAGCATAAACGAGTCCTTAAGATTAAGTTAAGACTAAGACTAAGATTAAGATTAAGACCGAAGCATAAACCAGCCATAAAACAGCTGAAATGATTTTAAGTAATCCGAAAGATAATTTTCAGATTGGAAAAATTTTATTAATTGGTTATTTCGAATTGGTGCTATAAAAGTTTCAAGAAATGGAGAGATTTGTGCAATCTGAAAATCTATCTCTACATGATAAATGGGACAATAATCAACAATTCATTGATTTAAAATTACTTGATGAGACAACAAATAAAACAACAATTTCTGTTATTATTTATTATAATATTTAATAACTCTTCTTTGTCATTACTGTCACTGAAGAGGCACTAGTAGACGATTCGAAAATAATATTATCAAGTAAAATATATTCTTGCATAATTATTCACTTTTTATTCCATTAGCCTAATTAATCAAAGAATAAAAAAAACCAATTAAAGATATAATTTTTCTTTACTTAAAAATTATCTTTCGGATTACTTAAAATTATTTCAGCTGTTTTACTGACTTTACTGCTGGAAGAAACAAAACACAGCACCAGTAAATTTCACTGCTGCCAACTGAACTATTTTTACTGGCAGTAACCAAACCTATTTTCGAACACACTATATATGTCTTATAACCAGTGATGCGATATCTCCTACCGGGCTCCCGGCTATCGAGCCTGAACACAACTAACAAGGGAACGTTCACAAGTGCCTCCCCCCTCCAATTTGATTCTCCTTGAAATATGTTGTAAAACATACAATTTGAGAAGACACGTATTTTTTTATAGCAATCCTAACTCAAATTTAAGGGGTAAAACATCCCTTTGAAAAAAACGGGTTTTTTCTTTATGTGTAAATATCGCCAAAACCGTAAAAGATATAAAAAAATGTTTCAAATAGTTTCAAATAGTTGTATGGCTTGTAATGGGCTTTATAACTGTGTAGTTGGATTTTCAAAAAATGTAATTTTTTTTTTAATTTACTTTCACCTCTTGTTATTATTTTTTTGAATTTCAAAATTTTTGTAATGATAAAAGTTGTAGCATTTTTTACGCTAAATTCAACCATATATGATTTTATTATGTTCCGAAAATGCATCTTTCAAAAA